ATCTCAGGGAGTGAGAATCAAGATGAGGGATATGTATTTTCTTCTTTATGTATTTATTTTTTTAAAGAGATTTTTGCTATAGAGCACTTGTGCTTGCTAGAGAGCCAGAGACAGAGAAAGTGAAAAATCATCCCCTAAAGGGAATGGCCACCCCATAATCTCCTCTCAGGATCCTGAGCACTCATGCACACACACCCTGGCATAAGCTGTAAGCCACCAGGTTCAAAACTCCAACTCCAGTTTGCCACGCAGAAATCCAGTGCTTTAACCACTATGCTTCCTGCTGGCCTTCTTTTTTTTTTTTTTTTTTTTGAGAGAGTTTTTTTTGTTTTGCTATAGGGCGCGTGCGCTCGCCAGATAGACAGAGACAGACAGAGAGAGACAGAAAGCGAGAAATCACCTCCCAGGGGGGATGGCCACGCTGCAATCCCTTCTCCTCCGTTCTCCTCTCAGGATCTTGGGTCCACAGCCTCACTTAAATTTTTCTATCACTTCCTCTCTCATTACCTCTGTTTCTGTAGGTAGATGGGCTTGGTTTCTGCTGAGATTAGACTGATTGGTTAGTATTGTTCTGATTCTACAACTCCCCATTTTATACCTAATTCTTTTTTTTAAGAGAGATTTTTTTTTTTTTTTTTTTTTTTGCTATAGGGCGCGTGCGCTCGCCAGACAGACAGAGAGAGACAGAGAGATAGAAAGCGAGAAATCACCCCCCAGGGAGGATGGCCACGCCACAATCCCTTCTCCTCCATTCTCCTCTCAGGATCTTGGGCACGCACGCACACGCGCCCGGCGTGGGTTTTAAGCCACTGGGTCTGGGACGCGAACCACGGTCGACTACGTGGGAGTCCAGCGACATAGCCATTACGCTAACTGCTGGTTCCCAAGAGAGAAATTTTGAGACAGAAAGCAAGAAATCAGCCCCTAGCGAGGGATGACCACTCTACAATCCCTTCTCTTCCAGTCTTCTCTCAGGATTTTTTTGGGCATGCACATACATGTGCCTGGCATGAATTTCAAGCCACTAGATCTAGGACTTGAACCACGGTCAGCCATTTGAGAGTCCAGTGTATAACCATTATGCCATCTGCTGATCCTGAGATGTAATTCTTATGGTAAATTTCTCATCACTTATAGCATAATAGCTCTGCTTTCCAAACTAAACTTTATTTCCTAACCTAAGTCAAAACTATCAATGCAAATATACTGAAAGAAGTTTTGATTTTATACCCCATACTTCAACCCTACTATTCCCTATGTTCCCCTCTTCTCAGAGGTAAATTTATATAAAATTACAGAATTTTAGTTAATATATGTATTCCCATTAATTAATTTGTAATTTCATAAAAGAACCACTAGAAACACAAAATGTGGGGCCACAAGGTAGTGGTGGTTAAGGTGTTAGACTCAAAATAAAACCACTGTCTGGAAAAAAAAGATGTTGGACTACCACATGGCTATGTCTCAAGTCTTAGACCTGGTAGCTTGAAAATCATGCTGGGTGCATGTGCATACATGCCAAAAGTCCCAGAAGGAGGCTGAAGGAGAAAGAACTGCAGCATGGGCATCCCCCTAGGAGGGTGATTTCTCATTTTCCCTCTCACTATTTCCCTCTCTCTCTCTCCTTTCTGGCAAGTGCATGTGCCCTGTGGCAAAAATAAATAAATAAATAAATAAATAAATAAATAAAACAAAAACAAAACAAAAAAACTTTTAAAAAATACAAAAGAAACATAAAATTTGAATATTTTAAGAAGTTTGATATATTGACTATGGAGATAATAGCAAATTACAGGCATAATGTCTGTTACACTTCATCACATCCCATGAAGAAATTCTTCCTCTTCTCTAGCTACATCAGTCACACGCATTTCATTTAAACGAGAAGTTTCTTTCAACATAAAAGGAAAAAAATCCACTTTAAAACAATTAAAAATAATGGAGTAAAAAGTCAAAGTGGAGATCTATTGGAAACAGATTAGAGATATTAGTAGTGAGATGTAAAGATATGTAGAAATCTACCAAATTTGGGCATTACCTTCTATATCCAATCAGAATCTTATATATATAAAACCTGTATATACATATATACAACCTGCTTCAAACTGAGGAATATTTGAATCATCACAGTGTGTAATGGTGAAGGTCCTTTTTTAAGAGATAAAGCAGTGGATGGAGCCAGAAGGTGGAGCAGTGTTAAAAGATGTCACTCTTAGAGTCAGTGCTACATGGCAAGGCTCCTAGTTCAAGTCTGGAAATATCCCTGAGTACCCCAGGCACATGCTCACCTATGATACAAGGCTGATCAGTACAAGCTGTGCACAATCTAAATATTAAAAAAGATTAATAGAGAAATATTTAAATATGGCTAGGATCTAAATTTTACTGGTTGTTATTCTGATTTTTGAAGAGATATTTAAGATTTAATGATCACATGACATCCTTTATGTAGTTAAAATGTATAGCCACATTTTTCTCATTTTTTACTTCTCTTTTCTTCTCTTCATCTATCATGATTCAAGTGACTATTATATAATTTAAAGGCTCAAACATTTATCTTATTATTTACTGTATGGATTTTATCCCAAATAGAGAAACCACTCCTTATCATTACTTATTAATGGAGGAAGTGAGAGATATTATTTGCAGTTATGTAAGTTGTGTAACAGGTCCTGATTGTTAAATCTTTGCGGTTGTCCAAGATAAAGGATATTCCATATGTTTTCCCCATCCTGCCACATCTATATCCTGTACATAAAGTACTTAATAAGAGTCATACATTCATCTTTAACTCTGGCCAAATCAACCTGAACTTTTTAACAACTCCCACTGCAACTTGAACATTTGTTCATTCCCTAAGCAGCAGCTGGTCTTTTACATGCCATGTGATTCACTAAGTCAATTCATATCATTGTAGATCGAATAAATACAAAGTTCTCAAGGACCCCGAGTCCCCTTTCTCCATAAATTAGACTTGTGATTTATCCGAGTTCACTCTGGAGCAATTATCACTGCTTTCAGGAATTAGTTGGGTATTAGAATATCACTGCATATGTGGAAAGATCTTAGAATTATCTGGATTAAGTCACCTACTTTTCACATGAAGAATTGGAGGCATCAACCTGACTTAGTAACCAGTCCAATTACACCCAAATTGCGGGACAAGAAAATCCACATACCCTGAGTCCTAGGTCACAGATAAACCAATTTAAACAAGAACTGTGCTGGATACATTTATTTTAATATCAGGTAGGTATGTGCAGAAGAACTCTGAAATTTTCTGGGATGGGTAAAGCCAGAACAGTGGGAAATTGAAAAAAGGGCACCAAACGTCAGAATAAAAAGCCAGAGTTGATTGGGTAAATTTGGTCAGTTTTGGAACAATTGTTTGGTATGTATACTCAAAGCAGAGTTTCAAGAAAGAAAAGCAAAGCAAAAGCTGCATTAATAGCAAGACGGAGAGGGTTTTAGGTATACCTCATTTCAATCAACTTTCTTTGCATTTTGTAAAGCCCTCTCAGACCTCAGTGGCAATTTCCTTCATCTGTCTACATAGAATTCCTGAGGCATGTTCTCTTATATAACTTCTCCTAGGTTTGCCATTACCATCTTTTATTTCTACATATGCCTGTCTCATATTTTCTTCTTGCAAATACTAAAAACAGGAAGAGTGCTTTTTCTTTAAAACTGTTGTGGTGAAAATTGATAAATTCTAGCAGTTAAAATATATCTGACTTGAGGCAGCTTGGTACTTAACAGTCTTTCTATTTAAAATACACTTGTAAATAGATGAATCCTTCAGGCTCTAACCAGAATATTTCATGAGCCTTTGATCAATGTATGGCATTGGTGACACAGAATGAGAGCCATTTATAGTATCTATATAACTGAAATGAGGAATTAAGAATTGGAGACTATTCATTTTTATTCTGGACCATGTCCATTAGAGAACTGAAATAGGTGTCATTTCTTTGTGACCATGTCCTCCCCTTTTATGTTCTATCCCTTTTTCCTAGCCACTGTAAGAGACCAATATCCACATGCCTTTACAGTATTATGTTCCACTAATAATCAGCCATGATTCTCAAATATTTCTGTCAGTCTTCACCCATCTTGATGTCCTGAAAAGCGGTTACCATTTCCTTCCTTTGCAAAACGTTTTGGAAGCTGGCTGTGAAATTTAAGAAGTGTTTCTCCAGTCAATCAGCAGTACAGTGATAACACAAGCTTTGCAATTGGACCCACACGGGAAGGTTCCAAGTTGGCATCCTGAGGTCTCCCTGTACACTCTGGGTGCACTTATGTCCATGATCCGGGCTGCCTAAGGCTGGATGGATTATGGAGTGAAGAGCCTGTTGGGGTGCCTGTCTGTCTGCTCTCCACACCCACCTCGTGTCTTTCTATCATAGAGAAAAAATTAACAAGCTGGGGAGTAAATATTTGAGTATCTTAAACTTTAGTTATGAATATCTTTACATTTCACATTATATTTTACTTGAAAGACAAATTCTAAGTTTTTGAAACTTATCTTTAATTTCATTGTTTAAAATACGTGCTGAACGTATGCACTCTGTGGCAGAGATCGAAAGATCTGAAGATGTGATAGCAGAGATGATAAATGTAGATGGCAGGGACTTTAAGGGAAGGAGTGGGTGGGAGAGGCAAAGGCAAGAAACATTAAACAGACAAAAGAATATGAAGTTCTGTGTTAAAAAAAAACTGTAATTTTTGCTTTATAAAAATTAAAATTTTATATATATATATATATATATATATGAGTGGTGTGTGTGCGCGTGTGCACGCGTGTGTGTATACACATACATACATATCTGGAAAGACCATCGAGGGAACTACTTGGCCATCGCGAGTGGGGCAAGGACAGAACAGCTGCCATCAGATCATTCTATGGAAAAAAATCTTACTTTGAGTTTGATTACTGTATTTTTCCCTAGTTCCCATCTCATCTGAAAATTTCAGAGTCCTTCCAGAAGTCAGAGTGAATGGCCTGGAGCAATCAGTCAGTTGTGACTGAATTCATACTACGAGGTCTATCCAGCTCCTGGGAACTTCAGCTCTTCTACTTCCTGTTTTTCTCCGTAGTCTATGCAGCCACTGTGCTGGGGAATCTCCTTATTGTGCTTACCGTCATATCAGAGCCACGCCTGCACTCCCCCATGTACTTTCTGCTAGGCAATCTCTCCTTCATCGACATGTCTTTGGCCTCATTTGCCACCCCGAAAATGATCGCGGACTTCCTCAGTGAGTATAAAGCCATCTCTTTTGAAGGTTGCATAACCCAGATATTCTTCCTGCATCTCCTAGGAGGGGCTGAGATTGTGCTGCTCATCTCCATGTCCTTTGATAGGTACGTGGCTATCTGTAAGCCTCTGCGGTACTTAACCATCATGAGCCGGAGAATGTGCGTTGGGCTCGTGGTACTTTCCTGGATCGTCGGCATCTTCCACGCTCTGAGTCAGTTAGCATTTACTGTGAATCTGCCCTTCTGTGGACCCAACGAAGTAGATAGCTTCTTTTGTGACCTGCCTTTGGTGATTAAGCTCGCCTGTGTAGACACGTACATTCTGGGGGTGTTCATGATCTCCACCAGCGGCATGATTGCACTGGTGTGCTTCATCCTCCTGGTGATCTCCTACACCATCATTCTGGTCACTGTGCGGCAGCGTTCCTCGGGCGGCTCTTCCAAAGCCCTCTCCACCTGCAGCGCCCACTTCACTGTCGTGACCCTTTTCTTTGGCCCGTGCATCTTCATCTACGTGTGGCCTTTTACAAATTTTCCAATCGACAAAGTACTGTCAGTATTTTACACCATATTCACTCCCCTCCTGAATCCAGTGATCTATACCCTTAGAAATAAGGATGTCAAGGATTCTATGAGGAAACTCAGTACCAGTATCTTTAAGTCCAGGAAGACTGATCATACCCCTTAATGTCCTCATGCAAAAATGTTCAGCATTTTCTGCCTCATTCAGTGGGTCTACATAATATTATTTTGTGCATGGCAGAACTATAGCTATCATCAACTTCAGCAGTGTCTGAGTTCTGCTCATATTAATTGTTCTTCATGGAACATAACACTTACTATAAAACATTATCAGACTCAAACATTTCACTGTGTAAGGAGTCACATTTTAGAATATTCCAACTTTGTAAAATGTAATGATTTATTTGAATATTTTTCCCTTAAGATATTCACATATTTTAAGAAAGAGTGGCTTTCCTCTGGTCTCATGCAATAGTCTCTAAGAAAAAAGGCAAGTGTAAAAGTACCAGCACCTAGTACAGTACCCTGCGCATTGAGAAATAGTCGAATTATTATTGCTGCAAAGGCACTGATGAATACCTTTTGTTACTTCAAAGGCAGAAAAAAATGGAAAAATTTGGTGAGTAAGAGTCTTTGCTATTGAATATGTTTGTGACGCATCTTTAATAAGAATAAGAATATATGTATTTATTTTTAATCCTTACACTTCCTAGAATAGATTTCATAACGTCAAACAGTATAGTAAATGTTAGGAAAATTCTTATAGCCTTATGTCCATTAAAGGTTTTAAGGATACTAGAGTCATGTACAATAAATCCCATCCACAAAAGCTGAAACTAAGACCAAGGGTACATTAGTATTTTTTTAAGGTCATGGTAATTAAAGGCAGAATTTAGAAATCATTCACCTCCAGATACGGGTATTTGTCTATTTTCTCAGCAGTAACAAGTTACTTTGGTGCCATAATGTTTTTAATTTTTATTTATTTATTTATTTATTTAAATAATAAATAAATAGTGAGGTTCTAAAGGATGTGAGTCATTTCCCTTAGTTGAATACAGTATTTGACTTGTAGACTTATGGATCCATGCAAAAATGGTCCTTCAATATGTCTTATGTAGTTAATAACTGGAGTTTCTAGAAAATAAAGAAAAAAATCTAGCCAACTCTAGCTTACAGATGATGCAAATTGAGAACCAGTGAATAATGTTACTTTCTGAAGTTTATACAGTAATCTGAGTAGTATTATGTACTGTATATGCGCCACACTTTTTCAATCCATTCATCTGTTCTTGGATGTTTGGGTTGATTCCATGTCTTAGCAATTGTGAATAATGCCACAATAAACATGGATATGCAGGTATTTTTCTGACTGAATGTATTCCTATAAATAAATCCTGAGGTTCTAAAGGATGTGAGTCATTTCCCTTAGTTGAATACAGTATTTGACTTGTAGACTTATGGATCCATGCAAAAATGGTCCTTCAATATGTCTTATGTAGTTAATAACTGGAGTTTCTAGAAAATAAAGAAAAAAATCTAGCCAACTCTAGCTTACAGATGATGCAAATTGAGAACCAGTGAATAATGTTACTTTCTGAAGTTTATACAGTAATTCAAAAATGGGGTCTAACCTAAAAGGTGCTTTTCACTCTCTCTCTCCCTCCATCCCTTGAACTGGGACCAAGTTAGCTTCAAGAACATTTTGATAATTGCCATTCATTCTGAGATTTACACATGGTAAAAATGTTTAATGTATAAAACTAAACTACCATACAATAACCACTAATAATTAGCAACCTGGTATTGTCAAAGTTTGCTTACTATTTTGTGTAACATTGTTCTCTCTTGATTCTAGATTACATGTATAGATAACTCATGGATAGATCTTAAGAACTCAAGTAGAAAGCTCAATCAATAGAAGATGGATGAGTGGATATATATACAGAAATATAGGAAAGAAGAAAAGTAGGTAGGTAGATACATAGGCATACAAATATTTACCAATCATAAAGAAATGGTATACATTTTGCTACACTAACTCTCTAGTCTCCACATCTGTATAGAACTCATACCAATCATAAATTGCAATTGTGTTAATTTATTTAAAATTGTTTGAAAAGTTATTAGAGTTAGTAGACTTAGAAAAGATATAGCCTTAAATGTATTTCTGATAATGAAGTATAGCCAGTACAATTTATGAATATGTTTAATGGACACTGGAAAGGTCTACTAATAAATTAATGTTCATAAAAAATTTAAATTGTACATTAATATTTATGACTCTCTGAACTTTATAAACTGTGCTTCTACCTTTCAGCCTGTTAGTAAGACCAAGTCTCTAAGTTAAATTGCTCATTTTCTTGTTTGTTTGGGTTTTGTCATAGGGCATGTACACTCACCAGAGAGACAGAGAAAGGGAAAGTAGAAACTCACACCCTGGGGAGATAGCCATGCCCCAATCCCTCCTCCTCTTTTCTCCACTCGGATTTTGGGCACACATGCATAAGTGCCCAGTGTGATTTTCAAAATGCCAGGTCTGCAGCTTGAACCATGGTAGCCATGTGGGAGTCAACACCTTAGCCACTATGCCACCTGCTGGCCCCAGATTGTTCATGTTTCATTCTGGCCAATAGCATATGGTTATCTCATCTGTGTGAAGCATGTAGTATTTATTTTCAATATTAGACTATGAACTTCGTGCACTTATTTGCCATCCTAATGTGTGCATTGCTACAATTGCAATCAAACAATTGTCACAAGTTCCATTATATAAAAGTTTTCTTGTGTTCTTAAATAGGGTCACCAGTTTCAGCTTTAGAGATGCAATTGGAATTTAACCCCAAAATCAAAGCATAGATGAATGGTATAGTATCAGCCTAAGAAACTTTGAGTAAAATGTGTCCCAGTCCCTATTATTTTTTCTAATTTATTTCTCTTATTTATATTCTATTATTATACATCTTTATAGTGCATGATATCATTTTTCAGTGTATGCATGCAGTGCATTACGACCGTATCAAGGATATTTCCATAAGCATACTTTTCAACAGAGAACTTTTCATTCTCTTTTCTGTTTAGTAGTGTTTCTTCCCTTTCCCCCTCCCACTCACCCACTGCCATCCACTCCCCTCACATACAGTCTCCAGTATCTACTCTTATCTTCCCTACAATAATAACCAGATCTTTCCATTTCTGCTCTAGGTTGTCCATTCTAATCCTTCATTGATGATGTCCCATTTTCCACCCCCTGCCTCATATTCTTTATTCACAAAAACTTACCAGAGCATGCTCTTTAATCTTTCATTATCATGGCCACAGAGAAAAAGAAGGATCTAGCAAACAATTTAAGGAAATATTGATGCTGTTTCCTCTCTTCTAAGAGTCATTGGTCTGATCTAAACTGTCAATAGTGTAGTTTAATGGTCATTTAATGTCTTTCTTTACTTTTTCTCTTTAATGAACCAGATTTTTTCCAATTCTACACTTGCTTCACTGAACAGATGATTTCACAAGTTCATCTCTAATTACAATTTAATAAATAAAACCAGGAGTGGGCCTGCTAGTAGCATGGTGGTTAAGGAGGCTGGATCCCACATAGCCTTCCGCAAGGTTTGTGTCCCCATGCCTAGTGGCTTGAAAACATCCTGGGCGTGTGTGCGCGAATGCCCAGAATCCCAAGAGGAGAATGGAGGAGAAGGAACTGTAGTGAGACCATCTCCCTTGGAGAATGTTTTTTCTCACTTTCCCTCTCTTCTCTTTTTCTCTCTCTCTGATGTGTGCACACATCCTATAGCAGGGGAAAAAGAGAGTAAATTCAGAGAGATGTAAAAAAAACTTAATACTGTTCAAAACATTCGGTGTACACACATGCAAGATCGAGACTGTCGGCCTGGATGTGCTTGGAGCACTGAGTCATCAGTACCAAATTAGGTCCCTGGCATCAAAATCCTCTTCGTTATATTTTCCTCTTTGCAGCAAATGCTTTGCTCCTACTTAAATAAGTACTCTCACCTGCTCATCTTAGACACTGAGAAGATAATCAGCAAAGTGAACTTCCATCTGAGATGTAGCTGAGGACTCGAGCAACTTTATTGTTTGACATGTCATTATTTTTTAGGTTAGTTATTATTTTATTCCACTCTTCATCCAGGAAATCAATTTTAAAAATGATACTACAACCTTTGTTCCAAAGAATTTCAATGGATTTAGAACCAATACAAGTATGTATTTTATTGCATTGCCCTTAGAGTTTAATCTAAACCCCATTACTTCAAAGAAATCATTGGCAATTATCTCAATGACCTCCTCTTTACCTTTTTTTTGGGGGGGGAGGGGCAAGAGAAGAGGTTATGTAACTAGACCAGATCACACAACCTGGCAGTCTGAATTTGAATTCTGAGCACTCTGCCTCTGAAGCTCACCTTCATCACTACCTGTGGTGCCATCTAATAATAATGCTACTTGTGGGCTTACTGTGTGCCTGGTCCTTGCTTAAGGCTTCACATCCTTTGCTTAATTGAATTCCAAAGCAGAGGATGTTGTTATCCTAGCTTGCAGATGAAAAAGCTTAAGATTCAAGTCCTGGCACTCCTTCTCAGTGGCAGACAGGATTTGAGGCAGGTGTGTCTGCTTCACAGACTGTTCTCACAACTACCCTGCAGACCATCTTTGTTTTCTTTGTATCTTTCCATTTGTCAGAGCTGATATATCCTGCATTATTAATTTTGTGCATTGCATGATATTGTTTCCTAAATAATTATTTTTTTCTTCTTTTTATAATTTCTTATTTACATTTAATTGTCCATTTCTATAGCACGAAATATGACTTTTCAAAGTATGCATGCAGTACATGACAATTAAATCAAGGTTATAACTATGTATGTCATTTTCAACAGAGAACTTTACATTCTTGTGTCTGTTAAGCATTTCTTCTGTGAACCCCTCCCACCCACCTTCTACTATTCACTCCTCTCTACTACGGTCTCTGGGATCTGCACATGTCCTTCCTACAATTGTATCTTCAGATCTTTCTGTTTCTCCCCTTAAGCAATGATTAAATTTGTGTCTTTTCTTCTTATAATTTATAAGCATTTTGAGAGCATATTTTGTCTTTGCTTGATTGTATTGCTTTGTTATTGTTATCTGTTTTCTCATCTGTTTTTT